ACGCTTGTAAGGTGTGCTCCTCCCTCTGGCATGAGTCGAGGGGGACACCCGCTCAGCTGACTGATCAATAAAGAACTTGAAGCCGTCTTCTAGACTCCCGTGCCTCCTTGGGGTAATTGGGCAGCTCCAGGGGGAAACGAGCCCATTTGGCTAACACAGTGAACTCCTTAACAACGATAAGATATGGGGGTTTTGTGGAACTGTGCAGCTGGGAAGTTTAAAAGTGATTAAGTTTAAATATTCAAGAAGCTGATGAAGGGCTGATGCAGGCATAGCAGACAGCAGCACCTCACAACGAGAGGAAGAAGAAGCAAGCAAAGTGTGGTGCTGAAAGTTATGTTCTGCTCATATGTTCGGCTTGAATTCCAGCTGAGTCAACCTCATAGCAGTCCCTATTGGCTCTGCTGGGGGTGGCTCCCGCAACAGACAGAGGAGCTGCCCAATAGAGCAAAGGGGTCCTGGCTGGAGCTCCTGCTCCATGAGCCGTGCAGGAAAGCGCGTCTATCCAAGTCTGTCTGGCTGATCGCACCACGACTCTCACGCATTTGTTTTCAGGCTTCTCTCTTCCCAAATGCGTTCAGGGTCACCATTGAAACTAAGGACTTGTTTGGTTGAACCTCAAAGGTAATTTACAGAGAATACATGGGAACCAAAAGTTTATTAGTTTGTAAGTTTATATTCGTATCATTCAGTATCGATGACTATATTACACCACCTCACCGCCCACAACCCACCTCCTGTGTTGGTAAAGCCACACTCCTATTTGCCCAGGCTTGCAGCCTTGTGGCTTGATTCTCACTTACACGGACACCATTCTGGCAGTGTGAAGGGGCCTTAGAGTAAATGCTCTGTCACTGTTGGCTCTTCCTTCCCATTCAGTCTGTGGCTAAATCCTGCTGCTGCATCTGTGTCCTCTCTGGAACTTTCCCTGTCCCCCCAACTCCTAAAGCCCATGGCCATGCATTATTCATCGCCTGCCTCATCCTGCAGCCACCTCCTCCTTGTCCTCGCTCAGAGCCCCCCATTGCTCTCCTCATGCCTCTCCAGCCTGCTGGAGCTAAAATCTGGCAACCTTGACTCCGCGGGAAGGTTTCTGAACACTGAGACCCAAAGCAAAGGGGGCCTCAGGACTTGGGGAAGGCTGGTCACTAACAACTGCTCCGTTTGCTTGTGTTGCCAGAACTCGGCTTGCCATAACAGTCTGTCTGTCTCTTCACAGCTTGCCCTACTGGATTTTATAAGCTATCCCCCCGACTCCCTCTCTGCTCTCCCTGCCCCGAACGCAGCTTCACACATCGAGAAGCCTCCACGTTCTGCACGTGCCAGAAGAACTACTCCCGGTCCCCGTCAGACCCGCCATCTGCCTCCTGCACCCGTACGTCTCTCTCCAGCAACATCCATGGTTCGGTAAATGGAAGGGAGAGAGAGGAGCCAGCCATAGCTGCCACTGCCCTGGGACTGGCCAGGCCTATGACGGGCCAAGGAGGTGCCCCCAACCCGGGTGGCAAGGCCACCAACACCCAGGCAGAGCCGCTTGGCCTCTATAGCTGTGTCCCAGGGTATTAGCATCACCGGGAGTTATTCCAGTAGCACCCGCAAGGAGCTCGGTGCTCTTCAAACAGATAGGAAAAGCCAGGTCCTACCGCAGGGAGCTCACAGTCGGAGGTTACAAGGCCTGAAATCTGGGGCTGTGAACATGCCAGTAAGGATTGCCGGCATTACCCCAATAAAACAAGGGCATGCTTGTATAGACACAGCCTAGCACGGCACATGTTTTTAATTAAATGGCATCAAGTTAATTACATTTGATTAATTGATACTACGGTGATGGGCACTTTAGAATTGCTTATATACTAAGCAGCAGCCTGTGTGGTTTGACTGACAGCTAGCCCGAGTAAGAGGTGTCTTATTCATGGCCTCACTGCAGAGCCAGATGGCTTGGGTCTAAGCTATTTCACCGTGTGAAACAAGCAAAGCCAAGTCTCCAGCTTGGAGCAGTGTGAGTAGCCGGCATGTGTCAAGTGTCTGCAGGTATCCGACTCTAAGGCTCTGTCTGCACTGCAAGGACACTGCACGGTGTCCTTAATCTGGGTTAAAATAGTCAAGTTACGGCATCTTGGCTTTTCACTCCAGTTAGCAGCTTGAGTGCAACCCCATGTTCCCCTACAGGCGTTCATTTAAGCTGCTAATGCAAGTTAAAAGACAGGCTAACGTAGCAGGGAAAATGCAGCAGTTTGAGTTAGCTAATGCGGATTAGCTAACCTGAGTTAAGAACACGCCTTTTTCTGCAGTGTAGACGTACACTCAGACTGATCATTAATCCTGTTCTGCCTTGCTCAGAGCTTTCTTTAAAACGTTGCTTCAGTGCGGACACTCTCCGTGCTGCACCTGCAGCACATATTGCACAGGGCTGAGGCTGCCCAAGTGACGCCTTGTGTTACTGGATGGCATTACGAGTGCCCTAGAAACAGGCTCTCTTGGATCCAGCTTTTCCTCTGCCATTCTGTAATTTCCCCTGAATTCCAGTGGCAGTGCCAGTGGGGTTATAACTGTGACGGCCCCGCACTGGTGCTGCTGGTGGTTGCACCCAGTGCACACGCAGTGAAACGCTCCCTCTTCTGCTTGCAGGTCCCCCATCTGCTCCAAGGAATCTCATCTACAGCCTGAAGCAGTCCACGCTGGTTCTGGAATGGAGCGCACCAGCAGACTTGGGCGGCCGGACCGACATCACCTATAACCTCCTTTGTGACCGCTGCTCGGCGGCTCTCCGGCGGCAGTGCGAGCAGTGCGGCAGCAGCGTTGGCTTTGTGCCTCAGCAGACGGGATTGGTGGACAGGACCGTTACCCTGGTGAACTTGCTACCACATGTTAACTACACTATCCGGGTGGCAGCTGTCAATGGCGTCTCTGATTTCAATGCCTTGTCAAAGCCGCAGTACGCGGAAGTGAACATCTCCACCAGCCTCACAGGTATGGGCCACCCCCGGCTGCACTTGCTGCTTTACCCCCCTCTGCTCCTTCCTGTGAACGTCTGGGACTTGCACTTTGTGATGCAAGAATCCCAAAGGGGTAAAAAGGGAGTGGTGGAGAGCCGCCCCCCCACCCCCCCAGGCTGACTCTGCGGCCTGTGGTGATTGTCCAGCATGGCAGTGGCACAGCTCTAGAATGAAGTTCGCTGGCTTAGAGTTCTGACCATTTTTGTTAACTTAGAGCTCTCCTGGAAAGCCCAAGGTTTTCTGAGCACTTCTGCAGCACTGAGCCCCAGGGCCCCCGGGGAGGAACAGTCAGGTTAGCACCCGCAGCGGCCATCACTTTACAGAAGGGACGTGGGTCATGTTCACTGCTGGCCCAATATGCTCCTCTTGAAGCAAGTGACGAATACAGGAGCCACTGGGCCTGATATGCTGGAGCGTGATCCAGAGCAGCTGTTTCTGGAATCCCAGCGTGCTCTGAGGACACAGTGCTGGGGCGTGACGTTCCTCGGCAGAGCTCCTGGGAATGCCTGGTTGGAGGATGTCCCCCCAGTAACATGAGACCACCTGCTCCTGGAGCTGGCCTGTCCAGCACTGCAGCTCTTTCTGCTGCAGCCCGTGCTCCATACCAAGCCGTCAGGATCTGGGCTGGGAGGCTGGGGGATACAGTGCACAGGGCTGAGTAGTCACGTCACAGTTCCCTGCATTCCCAAATGTGCTGGCCATGTTCCTGTCCTAGTCCATTTCCTGGCACCTTCACCAGGAAGCCAGAGATCCTTTCATTTGTCTACCTGCTCTCATGAGCTGTTAGGAGTTTTTCTAAGATGGCTGAGCGAGCCGGAGGGGTTTACACTGCTCAGCTGGTGTTTCCGTAGCTTTGCCTTCTGGGAGGAGGTGATTGCTCACATACAGCTCGGCCAGTGGATTTCCCCCACACGAGGACTTGGCAATTCCCCCCCCCCAGGCCTCTCACCTTCACCTCGTCTGCTGGATACTCAGGGACACGCAGATACTACAGCAGTGATGAGGACCATACCAGTGCCTAGGCAGATAGATGGGAAGAGACAGAAGCAGCTCTGTGGCACTCAGGCTGGTTTTCATTGCTAGAATACAGAGAACAGAAGCTTGCTGGGTTTAGAAAAGCCCATCGCTCAGCAATGAAGATGGACACTCTGCTGCAGACAGGGCTGGATTAACGCAGGGGCTTTAGGGGCTGCAGCCCAGGGCCCTGGACTAAGGGGGGCCCCAGTGCAGCGGGGCTCAGGCAGGCTGCCTGCATGCCCTGGCCCCACGCTGCTCCTGGAAACGGCTGGCTGCTGGCACGTCTCTGTGGCCCCTGATTGGGGGGGGAGCGGCTCCGTGCGCTGCCCCCCGCTCCCAGGGAACCGGCCAAGAGCCCCGCTGGGCTGCCGGCCAGGAGCTGCCTGTGGTAAGCGCCTCCCAGACGGAGCCTGCACCTTGCACCCCCTCCTGCACCTCGACCTCCTGCCCCAGATCAGAATCCCCTCCTGCACCAAACTCCCTCCCAGAAAGAAATGAATATAACAGCTGTTCTAAGGGAAGAAGCAGGCTATTTTGAATTAACTTAACTCTATTCTACATGTTTTGAGACTGAAATGTAACCACAGAACGGCTTTATGTTAATTAGAAGGCAAGTTTAGTATAGCGTTAGTAGCCTTGGTGCCATAACTGTGATCATTTTGTTTTAAATTAGGAAAAAGACTTGTAGACAGAGGCCCCACGCAATCTAGTAGCCCCGGGCCCACGGGAGAGCCCTTAGCACTCCATGAACTGTGCTATTTCAAAGCTACACGACAGTCACTATTCTGACAGTGAGGTTCTGAGCTCCATGGAGCTGTGAGTCCACGGCGTGATTAAGTTACAGTTTGAATTTATGGATCACAAAAATGTCTTCAGGGAATCAGTTCTTGCAACCCAGGCACGTGAAACTCCTTAACAGAGAGTGATTCAGCGGCTGGCTGTCCCACGGGAATAGGAGAGCGTTAGAATTGTTGGTTACATTGTTTTCTCCAGGCCACGTTTCAGGGCACAATTTCCCATTGTAAATGTCTTCCTTCCCCTAGGGGCTCACACCTTTAATTGCCTGACCTGAGCAGAACAGAGGAGCCTTTCTGTCTGCATGCCAGAGCCCTTCCCTGGTGGAGAGGGGCTTGTTCCCACTGCTCCAATCCCGTTCTGTTTCTGCAGGTCCCTCTCCATGATTTAAACCTCCCCAAGGCAAGCCAGGGAGGGCTTGTTGTGTCCTTGTCTCTCCCTCTGTTGGTGTTAATTTGCATGAAAATCCATTCCCCAGCCACAGTTAATGGAGATGAGCCATCTCCATGTCCCTCTCCATAGGAATTGGCCAACAATTTAATCTTGAGAGATTAAACTTTGATCTTGTTAGGAATAATTTCCCCACCATTTGATCAAATGTTTTTGCTCACGCTGCTTTTTCTTTCCTTACTCAGTAATTTCTATGGCTGTGCAGTCTAGATGCAAGGCCAACATGGACCTATCCTTCCACACAGGAGACCTCTTCTGGTCAGTGGAGAGCTTTTAGTGCCTGAGCTCATGTTAACCCCGTAGGTCCAGGGAGTCAAGCAGCCAGATGGCTTGTAGAAAAGTCAGATTAGCCCCCAGGGAAATGCTGTGGCTGCAGGAGAGCTTGTTAGGGGAGCTCTCTGAGAGGCAAGGGCGGGAGGGACGTGTGTTTGAGCCACTCACAGGTCACTGAGTGACAGATTCTTGCTGCCATTGGAAAAAGAGACTTTCCTGGCTTGGCAGCAAACAGGCAGAATGTGTTTCCATGTTGCTTTGACTTCTCCATAGGTGGGAAGCCAACACTGGTCACAGCTGGCAAGTGGGGAAGGACAAGAGGGCTGATTTGCAAGTTTCCAGAACCCGAGTGTATTAGACACGGGGACTGGATGAATCTGTTAGCTGACAGGGATGAGAAACAGAGAGAGGTTTCTCTAAAGCAGGGGCTCTCAACCTTTCCAGGCAACTGTAGCCCTTTCAGGAGTCTGATTTGTCTTGCATATCCCAAGTTTCACCTCACTTAAAAACAACTTGCTTACAAAATCAGACATAAAAATACAAAAGTGTCCCAAGGACACTAGTACTGAACAATGGCTGACTCTCATTTTTACCATATAATTATAAAATAAATCAATTGGAATATAAATATTGTACTTACAGTTCAGTGCACAGTATATAGAGCAATATAAACATCATTGTCTGTATAGAGTCCTGTGGCACCTTATAGACCAACAGACGTATTGGAGCATAAGCTTTTCTGGGTGAATACTCACTTCATCGGATCCGAAGAAGTGGGTATTCACCCACGAAAGCTCATGCTCCAATATGTCTGTTGGTCTATAAGGTGCCACAGGACTCTCTGCTGCTTTTACAGATCCAGACTAACACGGCTACCCCTCTGATACTTGACATCATTGTCTGCATGAAACTTTAGTTTGTACTGACATCGCTAGTGCTTATTATGTGGCCTGTTGTAAAGCTAGGCAAATATCTGGATGAGTTGATGGACCCCTTGGAAGACCCTGTGTTGTACCCCCAGGGGTCTGCGTCCCCCTGGTTGAGAACAACTGCTTAGAGGAGCTCCCACAAAGGTCTCCCAGCAGAGGGCAGGGGGGAGACAGGTGCGCTCAGAATCTGCATCCTGAGCAATTATGTCATATAGGAGGAGACTAAGGCAAAGCTAGGACAGCAACTATTCTGCAAGATCCCTCCTCCTCCAGTGAGCGAGAAGCAAGTGGCAACACAAGTCAGATTATCATACACCCCAGATGTGTGTATTTAATGTGTCCCTTCTCCTTCATAAGTGGGAATCCTGGGTGGTTCTCGCAAACTGCTTAACAAATACATGACTCCCAAAGAAACTGAAATGCAGACAAAGAATGTGGCAAGTAAACTATTCCAAATCAATGTCTCTTGTCAAGCCGCTGAGATTCCGGATGCAGATGGCAATACAGAAACTAGCTAACCAGCTGAGACTTCTGCACCATTCAGGAAGTTTCCTGAAGCATGTTCATTTTTGCTGCTGAAATTGGCTTTTACCTAGGTGGCGAGAATCAGTGGAATTGCTAGATTGGAATGGCCAATTTTGTTCTTTTTGTGTTTGGTCTTTTGGGGGGGTTCTGCTGAGTTGCAGGAGACCCAATTCCTCTGTTTTGATCTGTCATGTAAAAAATGACGGTGATAATTAACTTGTGCCCACCAGCCAAGAAGGAAAGGAGGGCACCTTCCCACACAAAGGTGGCTTACAAGTCTGACTTGCCTGCAACATTCCTGCAAGATAAGAGACCAACCTTCCTTGGTGAAATCCCTGCACCTGCATGTGTGCCCTGCTCCAGGGGGTCAGACAGGAAGAGCAGCAAAACTCATTTTGAATGTGCAATCCAAACCCTGGGCATTGCAGTCACAGTTCCAGGGGCCTCCGCTTTGTTTAACAAGCTGTCACTTGCAATTTTCTGTGAGCCTTGATTTCCCGCACGAGAGCAGCTCTGTGCCCCAAGTTAAAGTGGGCTGTTAATGCACTGCAGAGCATAAGCCCATTCTGTGAACTCTGCCCTGGTGAGATGGTTCATACCTGGGGTTCTCCGCAAACATGCCTCTTCCAGGCACTCCCATTGTGTGTGTGTGGGGGGAATGTGCTTCCCTGTGCTGCCAGTGGAACATCCCTTACATCAGGGAAAGGCAGTGAGCAGAGGAGAGCTTGGGGCGGTTTATATTCGCTCCTGAATGGCTGGGACTCCTGCCTGCCTGGGGGGAAAAGTTTCTTTTTCAAGGGCTTTTAAGCTACTGGTCGGATCCTGAACGTGCGCTGGTCTTGGTCGAGGTGCAATAGAAAAGAGCAGTAACCAGGGGTTTGGGACTATAGCTCATCGCTCTGAGCCATTCCTAAGAGCCTGGATACGAGAATTGCTGAACTCCTGCTGATTTCAGAGACTTCGGAGACGGGTGTTGGACTGAGCC